ATGCAATAAAATGCTAATTAATTACTTAAACATCATACAATGTGATTTTCTGGATTTTTGTTTTAGATTCCGTCTCTCACAGTTGAAGTGTACCTATGATAAAAATTACAGACCTCTACATGCTTTGTAAGTAGGAAACCTGCAAAACCAGCAGTGTATCAAATACTTGTTCTCCCCACTGTATATAGTGTAAGTCTATACAGTCTCCATTTGTAGATGTATTTTGTGTCCTAGATATATGTAAGACAGCGTTAGTCTTGATAGAAGCAAATCAATTATGAATTGCGAAGTCTGTGACCAATTGTAAAATGTATATTCTGGGCTGTTTGTGGCCGTTAGACATTGTTATGCGCCTGTTCATGGGCCCGTACGTACAGGATCAGAAAGCCTGTACGGCCTATGGGACCATGATGGTCAGGGAACTTGAATTCAGCATTGGCTTGACTTGCCCTTCGTAGAAGTCCATTGCTTCCGAGGCTTCCGTGAAGGTTTGGGTCTTGTTGTTGAAGGTGATCAGCAGTTTTGCCAGGTGGACCACGCCGTACCTCAGGTTGGTTTTGCGCAGCTTGTTCGCCATTGGCAATCTATCATAGTTCTTCTCCACCGTTTACAGCCAAGAATGTAATGGGGTAGCTGAAACCTCGAGATCGTTCACTTTTGAGTGACAGTTGTTGACCGTGGTTTGAAGTTTCTCGAGTGTGGAGAATATTTCCTTGCAAACAATGTCTCTGATCGTCTTTGCAAGAGCGTCGGGATCCATTGGAGTGCTGCGTGTGGTATACTGCATCCGCGTGGTTTGAGGTTAGTGCCAAACACAACATGTTTTGGGGTTGAAAAGTGAAGCCAATATCATTTCAATTTGTAATCTTGAAATAAAAACAATAGATCTGTCGTGGATAAAGTCTTAATTTGAGGGAATTCTGTTGTACAAGCTAAGCCTGTTTACTGCATGCCACCGGAAGTCACATCAGGGCCTAGTGGTAAAATGCACATGAGGGTACTTCAAGGGTACTCCGGCAGAGAACATTTCAGTTGATGGTACTATACCCGAAAAAGTTGGGAACCACTGAACTAGGCTGCAAGGAAAAGGATAGAGGCATGATGTTCTGCATCCTACTCCAACTATTTTTTTTATTTTTTTATTTTTATTTCACCTTTATTTAACCAGGTAAGCCAGTTGAGAACAAGTTCTCATTTACAACTTTCTTCTTATTGACAGGGATAATGTGGCATTTTTTATTTGTCAGTGAGAATGAAATTAGTGAGTCCTGCCTTGACGACTGTATTAGCTTTACAATACTTGTCCTATACATTTTAGTTGTCTTCAATTATTACTTGGAATAATGACAGCTAAAGCTAGTGATAACGCCATCTGCTCCTGCTAGCTAGCAACAGTCTACTTGTTGTAGCTAGCTAGCTACATTGCTATGTTCTTCACGTTTTAAGTAAAGTTGGGAGTTATTTTACAGCTTGCATTGATGGTAGCATGTTTCTATGATCAAATAGATTACAAATATAAAAAAGACTTTACCCATAGCAGTTTGTCGGACTGAGATCTCTCTCCAGATGTCACCAGCTGTGTTTAGTACAGAGAACATGATTGGCAGACGTGATCAGCAAAGAGGGTACCTGGATAGTACACAAGTTTTGATTTGTTTGCTGTTTAGTACTTGGCAGTATTTGCCTGTCCAGCTAGTGAACATAAAAGGAAGTATTTTGAAAATAATGTGCAAGAATTGACATTGCCAACAAATGGAAATGTGTTCAGAATAAATGAACACAATATGTAAAAACCAGCTCCTCCTGATCATCTCGAAAACTAAGGCAGATACGATACTTTGACACACTACCTCTTCCTCTTTGTTGTTCTAGAAGCCTGAGACAAAGATTGAGATGGAGGAATATATTATGCAGTTGCCTAGGCTAAGTAACCTTGTTTCGGGAAGGAAGACATAGAAAACACCAAGTCACGTTTGCCGTTATGGTGTTGTGGACTTGCCGCTGACAGCTACTGTCCCTGGCTGTAACTACTTATTTATTCTGGGATAATTAGTCAAGTGCAGCCCTGGCACCATGATTAATGCACTTTGTCATCTTCAGCACGACATAAATCCAACGCTGCCTGTAGCCTATAGCAAGATGAAACACTTCAAATCGAGTTCAATATCTCGGTATAGACAGTCATTGGGTGCAACACATTTCACGTAGCCTAGGCCTCGTCTATGGCCTTGGCATGGCCTACGGTCAGTTACATTGAAAACTGTACAATAACATCCATTCTTCTAGCTTAGGCTACATAGGCTAACAATTATGTGACAATAAAATAGGTCAAATTAAATATAGGTAGAGGTGGTCACTATCTAGGCTATTTTAGGCTTACCCGTGACAGGTTGCTGCAAGGTCATGGGAATTCATGGACAGGATAACACATAAAAGATGGGATGTTTTTTTTTATAGTTCGGAGAACTATAAGCCAAAATGTTGGCTGTTTTGTTAAATGTCCATAGGATATTCACCTATTTAGCCTATAGATAGGTGTGTGTGAGTGAGTGCATTCCTGCCTGTGTGCATGCACGTGCGTGTGTGTGAGAGAGAGATGGTGATCAAGGAAATGTAAAAGAGCGAGAAAGATTATGATCACAATAGGATGATGATAGCTAAATTAGTCTCTCTCTCTCTCTCTCTCTCTGTGTGTGTGTGTGTGTGTGTGTGTGTGTGTGTGTATTCACACCTTAGTACAGTGTAGCTGTTGTGGGGGTGAGGACGGTGTTTACAGAAGGACACTGCTGAGCCCTTTGACCTAGAGGAGGTCCTGTAGGAGCTGCACAAAAGGGACAAAGAGAGAGGTGAGTAGACTAAGCCTACTAGTCTATTAAAATGTGGTGTATTCATTAGTCGGGTTCCGTTGTAAAATGTTTTGCCTGTTGCAAAACGTTTTACAACAGAAACCGTTTACTCCAAACGCTCTTCAACGTTTCGTAAAATCTGTTTGGTTTTTAAAAACGGAAGTTGTAGTTCATTTAAATGTTATGGCTTCTAGTCGTTGCCATTCCAATCCGAATAGTTTGCTAAGTGTTTGGCACAAGCTGCACATCTATAAATTAACAATTCTTCCATGCTCCAAAGTGGAGTGAAGTCTGCTGGGTTCCATCCAACTTCTTCCACCCGCGTATTTTTTTTAGAGGGACGCGATTGAACTACAATTTCCATTTCAGAACAAAACAGAACTCAACAGCTTTTGGATTAAATAGACAAAATGTTTTGCAACGGAATCCAACTAATGAATACACCCCTGGTTGTTTTTCAGGTTTGCTCATAGCCTAAGACAAGTCTATGGTCATGGCCAAAAAATGTTTTGCTGCCATCTCGTGGCCATATACAGTATTCATTCACTACTGAAACGTTTGAGAGGAGCAGGGTTAGAACCATCACATTTATGGTTACTGGGCACTTAACTTTCTGAGCCATTAATATCCAGACCTCTTGGTAGTGGTTCATTGTAGGCTTCTGCTAAAATGGAGGCTACAGTTCTGCACCCTCCGCTGCAACTTGCCAATGCGGCCATACAGCACTCCTTCCGTAGCCTCCAACTGCTCTTAAACTCTAGTAAAACTAAATGCATGCTCTTCAATCGAACGCTGCTTGCACCCGCCCGCCCGACTAGAATCACTACTCTCCGCGGGTCTGACTTAGAATATGTGGACAACTACAAATACCTAGGTGTCTGGTTAGACCGTAAACTCTCCTTCCAGACTCACATTAAGCATCTCCAATCCAAAGCTAAATCTAGAATCAGCTTCATATTTCGCAAAAGCCTCCTTCACTCATGCTGCCAAACATGCCTTCGTAAAACTGACTATCCTACCGATCCTTGACTTCGGCAATGTCATTTACAAATAGCCTCCAACACTACTCAGCAAATTGGATGTAGTCTATCACAGTGCCATCCGTTTTGTCACCAAAGCCCCATATACTACCCACCATTGTGACCTGTACGCTCTCGTTGGCTGGCCCTCACTACATATTTGTCGCCAAACCCACTGGCTCCAGGTCATCTATAAATCACTGCTAGACAAATCCCCACCTTATCTTAGCTCATTTGTCACCATAGCAACACCCACCCGTAGTATGCGTTCCAGCAGGTATATCTCACTGGTCATCCCCAAAACCAACACCTCCTTTGGCCGCCATTCCTTCCAGTTCTCTGCTGCCAATGACTGGAACGAACTGCAAAAATCTCTGAAGCTGGAGACTCTTATCTCCCTCACTAACTTTAAGCATCAGTTGTCAGAGCAGCTTACCGATCACTGCACCTGTACACAGCCCATCTGTAATTATCCCACCCAACTACCTCATCCCCATATTGTTATTTATTTTGCTCATTTGCACCCCAGTATCTCTATTTGCACATCATCTTCTGCACATCTATCATTCCAGTGTTAATACTAAATTTTAATTATTTTCCACTATGGCCTATTTATTGCCTTACCTCCATAACTTACTACATTTGCACACACTGTATATAGATTTTCTATTGTGTTATTGACTGTATGTTTTGTTTACCCCATATGAAACTCTGTGTTGTTGTTGTTTTTATCGCACTGCTTTGCTTTATCTTGGCCAGGTCGCAGTTGTAAATGAGAACTTGTTCTCAACTGGCTTACCTGGTTAAATAAAGGTGAAATAAATAAAAACAAATACAAAAACAGTAAAATCTGTCCATGTGCACTTGAGCAAGGCACTTAACCCTGATGGCTTCTGTAAGTCGCTCTGGATAAGAGCATCTGCTGAAATGTAAATGAGTCACTGAGATCATGTAACTCTATGGTATTAGGTCTATACTGGCCAAATAGGTTACCTCTGGGATTCAAACTGGTGACCTTTTGTTTACTGGCCCAACAATCTTAACTGATAGGCTACCTGCCGCCCAGTATAACACCCTGACAAATTTACACAGGTTGATTTTCAACTTACTTTGTAATAAACACAGGACAGCTACAGTGGGTCTACAGTTTATCAATACAAAAGGAATGCAGTCTCACACATTACAGTCAACAACATACAAGCGCCGAGCCGTCCTACGGTAGGTGTTGCTCTTCATCCTTTCTTTGCTGGAACACACATAGCAGAGGGGCAGGACATTAACAATAGAATTCACTGAATATTCACTGAACGTTCTCTTGTAAAAATAGTGACTTGTAAAAATAGTGACCGTTACAATGCCATTTTTATTCCTCCCTTCAGGTGTAGTAGATAGATCTAACATAGTCAAGTATTTAACTAATGTATTTTGGTATGACTGTGAATGAAAGCCTAAATTACTCATACTATTACATATAGTAATATGTATAACTGATTCATTAGAACTATATACATTGTGGACCATCATTTCTCACTCATGAATAAACTTGTATTCTTCCAGTACCCAAGAAACACTTGGAGGAAAGACGTCCAGGCAGAAATAATTGAGAGCTGCCACAACTGGTGTGACCTGGTAAAACTTGGCCCAAACCGAGTGAGATGGAGGGCATTCATCCACGTCCTATGCTCCATATAGGAGCCAAGCGCTTCAGTCAAGTAAGTCTTCCAGCCCCCTTACTCTATGTCTCAAAATGACCAGCAGATGTCACTTAAATACTGCTTTATAACTGCTTTCTCTGAGAGCAACTTGCTCATTGGATCACTATGGTTTCTACAACACCACATTTTCATTTATTGACCAATGACGGAGGGATGTGGACTGCCTCTCATTCAAGATGTAGCCTATATCTCATCTTCTTTGTATTCCATTGTCTGTTATCAGGACACTCACCCTGGGCTTTCCACACTTGCGGATTTTGTTGCCTAGGGGATGAGAGAGAAAGACAATCAGTGAGTACTGATGATTCAGTCTATTACAGTACTCTCCATGCCCCTAACAGACAGCAAGGCAATAGAGAACACAATCATTAAATTGGTTTAAGGTGGGGTTGTTAGATCGCTTTAAGCCAGTCAGGTTGGAGAGAGTGCACACACACACACACACACACAGTCTGGTCTGGGGACTCACTGGCCAGCAGGAGAACAGACAGGATCATGATGACCGCAACGAACGTCAGACCTCCAATACGTAGAGTCTGGTAGTCTACAACACAGAGGACACACTCATCATAAGCTCACCCATGGCAACATCTCTCTCTCTCTCTCTCTCTCTCTCCTCTCTCTCTCTCTCTCCTCTCTCTCTCTCTCTCTCTCTCTCTCTCTCTCTCTCTCTCTCTCTCTCTCTCTGTCTGTCTGTCTGTCTGTCTGTCTGTCTCTTTCTCTCTCTTTCTCTCTCTCTCTCTCTCTCTAGCTCACTCATTCTCTCCTTGCCATTAGGCGTCATCAAATTACCAAATCACTATCTCTCTATCACATAATCATTACGTGCAGTACCATTGTGTTGTCTCTTACCATACACAAAGTCTGCATCAGGGTCATACTCAGGAGCTGAGGAGATAGCAGAGAACACATGAGATGAGATCCAAGAGGATATCCACACTCTACAGGCCAATACACTCAGAGGAGTGACAGAAATAGAGTAGACAGAGAAACATACTGTTGTCCCAGGAGAGGGGTAGACTCATAAAGAAGTAAAGTGGTCCCCTCTGATCCTCTAACTACATGGATCTGGGTAAACGTCAATGGCTGCCTATGCAGGAGGCTCCTGTCTATGTTTATGGTTGTGGATTTTCTGTGTCTAGTACCGGTAATTTAAATTCAGTGGTGTAAAACGTACCTCCAGCGGCGGACATGGTGGCTGGTCTGTGTGAGTGTCTGTTAAGATTAAGGAAATGAGTAAGATATATACAAAAGCTGTATCCATGTCTACAATAACAATTTCTGGATCCCTAGTCATTCATTGTAGTATGGTATGCTTAGAAAATCTGTTTTTGGTTTGACACCGGCATTGCTGACAGGGCAAAAGTAGTCAATATGTAACATATTTTAATGTGTCTAGTTAGCAAATCATTAATGTCAGTAGCATTACCAATGAAAACAGGCATTGTGTTAGTTCTGAAACCCATTGTCTCATGTGGTTATGGATTCAGATAGATTACATTTCAATAATCTGTTTTTAATAAATATGGGGAATGGTTTTTAATGCTTTTATCCAGTTTTTATGAAAGTCCGTTGACAGGATAAGTAACACTAGATGTCCAAACAAATTGCTTTAGCTGGTTCTTCATCTTCAACCTTTATATCTGACTAGTTGCTAGAGAGGGTAGTAGAGATATTGATTTACACACACAACACACACACACACACACACACACACTCTGTTCTGTTCTTTGATATAAATCTCTATGCCTTTAAATAAATAGGTCATTTAGCAGACGCTCTTATCCAGAGCGACTTACAGGAGCAATTAGGGTGAAGTGCCTTGCTCAAGTGCACATAGACAGATTTTTCACCTTGTCGGCTCAGGAATTAGAACCAGCGACCTTTCAGTTACTGGCACAACGCTCTAAACCACTAAGATATCTGCCGCCCCTAATCATTAACTTACATGGATTGTGAGATTAAAACATCCCTGAGTCAAATTTGTTCGGGAAGTCTCACGTGTGTAAGTACGAGTTGTGAAAGATGTGCGTGTGTGTAGACCTATGTGTTTAAGGATTCTGTGTGTGTGATTTTTCAATGCATGAGTGACATACTTTAGCATATAGAAAAGTTATTTATTGCCAAATGTCAACTTAATACATTAACCTTGACACCCCCTACAATCACCCTCTAAAAGGCATTCATTAGAGACAAGAATACTTCTGCTTTTACTCAATGTAAAATGTACTCAGTGTACTCAATATTGTATTATTATAATTTTTGGGAAGGGCTCATAAGCAAGCATTTCACGGTAAAGTTTACACCCGTTGTATTCGGCGCATGTGACAAGTAAAATTTGATTTGATTTGTAGAACACCCTGAGAAAGTGAACATCAATAAAGGCTTATTGCTAGTTCGATAATATTATACAGTGTAATTATAGACCAGTACAGTTTTCCCTTTCACTGATCAATATGTAGGTATAGAAGAGTAATACACCATGTTATTGATATGTTAAAGATTGGGATCAAAATCAGATGATGCATGAAATGCTGGCCCTTTTCCCAACTATACAGTATTTCCCAACTATACATGATTAGCTGGCTGTGATTGCTTATGAGTTGCTTGAGTTAAATAAACAATAACTCAACAAGTAGGTATACATTTATCCAACGTGTGCTCCTGGGTATCATCAAGTATTAAGTATTTGAAGTACTAACGGTCTATCAATCTCTAGTCATAGCATTCAGTAGATCCAGTTTGGACTCACCTGTGGATCTGTGGTGCTGGAAGGCTCCTCTGGCTGTGTGAGATCCTCTCAGGTGTGTGTCCTTCTGTCTCTGTAGTAAGCTGCACTCCAGTCACCTCCTGCCCCATCTACCCCATTCCCTCCCCCATCTCTCACTCTGTGACACCCATAATTCAGCCTGCCCGGCAAGCCCTACCCCACCAGCCACCCATTTACATGTTTATAGACCTATAAAGCTTGGCTTTCAGAGCCGATAGATAATGTGAGATGGTAACCTTTGGAATCATTGAGGCAGTGTTCACATTACTGTGACTAACCTAGGAGGAAGTTCACGCCATTTTGTACCCTACCTTTGAAGTAGCACTCATACAACCTTGAGTGACTTTGAGTTCGAAATTGGCAGGTTGATTGCATTGTCATTGTGTTATAGTTCTTGGTAGTATGACTTTGTAGCTTACCACAATTATGACTAGAATCACAGGTGAGCAGTGGTTGGTGGCTGTGTTTCTCCATATAAGTAAACTATACAAGTAACCCATAACATTACAATGAAAACTGTATAAATTAACAAATAAATACATGAAGGTTATTGGTGATAGACACTTTATTTCTATGTTAAAAGCACAAAATGCAGCTATACAATACAACCTCATGCACAGAATGAACAGAGTAGTTACTTATTGTCGTGACAGTGTTTTTTTGTAACAATGATACTCTACATAAGACTCCATATATCTGACTACGTGACATAAGCTTTACCTCACATCTGATACAGAGCAAATGATCTTTTCCTTTTATTTTCTTCACCTAATTTGGCGTCTAAAACTATGACTCTGGCACACTTAGTATCTACACACAAACTCTCTCACACACACTCTCTCTCACTCACACACAGGCCCGCTCTCTCATTAACTAAATGCATGATCGATCATACAATACAAAACAGCGAGACACCATTGGTTGAGAGACTGATTTTGCAATCGGCTACTGTAACTTCTCAATTAAACAATATACGACACAGATTTGCGGCACTGGTGTGGGAACCGTCCAATCCTAGCCTGCCTCTGAGGGCGGTATCGCCCAGCTCAGCCAATGGCAGAGGAGGAGACTAGATTGGACGGTTGTCTAGGACAAGGCAGTGATACAGCTGATGTAGGAGCTCAGTTTACTACAGTAAGTACTGTTGGTGAGCTCCTAGTTAACTCTGATGCATTCTTGTGCTTGGTCAGCAAACTGTGGCAGTTGGATTCTCATGTGTAAGATGCAACACAGTCAAAATACACACAAATCTCAGACACACACATACACACAAATATTTAAATATATATAGCTATAACTGTATACAGTGTATAGGCTATTTATACTAATATATATGCATGTATATATTGAATATAATCTACCACGTGAAAAACGGCATTGAGGACCATTGTTACAAGAGTGGTGGTGTTAATAACAACTTGTAAAAATATAGCAAACAGTAAAGACGACAGAAACACAGAATATAAGCTAAACACAAACAAGAACAACATTTCTTGACATATCTCTTATTATTAGGAACTGGGGTAAAGACAATCTGCAAAAAGGTGTCACTGGCTAAGACAACAAACTGGAGACAGACTGTCGCAGAAAGGCACAGGTACACACAAGATCACTGAGACACGTATACAGGCACAGAGCACGGAACAATAGGCTAGAGGTTTATTTACATCTGCATTATCCCCCCACCCCCCTCTACACACTCCTATCCTCTGTCCTGTGATCGCACAGTATGCCTTTTGCAACATCTTCATTTTTCATTATCATCTTTGTCATCTTTGTTGCCATCGTCATGGTTATTGTGTTGGTCGTTAGGTAGTGGTTCAGTGGCAGATATGGTTGATTCGGTCAGGTGGGGTTCATTCTGGTTGGGCTGCCTCAGTTCTCAGCCTTAGCTTCAGGCTCTGGCTCTGGCTCCGGCTCCTTAGCTGTGATCGGACAGAAGAGGGGGAATCAAGGAAACTCATATGACTTTATGAAAAGACAGTGAGGTTGGGGTTGTCATTTCAAACAGTGGCCGAAACATAGGGGGAACCTAGGAATCGACTACGAAGAATCATTCCCAATGGTTGAACTCAACTATGGATTGGTGTCAAGGGTGTTCTAAGGGGTGTGTGAGGGGTGAGTCGGTAGTGACAGTTGTCTCACCCTTGGACACGATTAGGGTCTCTGCCGTAGCCTCTTCGTCTCCAGGGGCCCTGCAATAGAACCAAGAGGACCAATGTTGGTTGTCATGGTGACCAGAGATGGAGAACACAGCCCCATAACAACAGAGCAATCTACCAATCAGGCACAATTGCTGACTTACTTGGGCTTCTTCTCCTGATTGGAACTGCAGCGACATTTTCGGCCTAGAACGGACAACAAATCAATATCATGATCTTAATCAACAACCAAAGAACCATAAAGTACATGAGTTGCGTAGGTAGACTTACTGAAGTATGAAGACTTACTGAGGATAAGGAGGATGCCCAGCGCGAAGAGTACCACGCCAAATACCAGTCCACAGATCCGCAGGCTATGATAGTCTACACAGAGACGGACACATAGAGAGGAGGGACGTCTACTTATGAAAGTCTTCTTTCATGGCTATTGGAACATTTTGAGTTGATGGAAAAGAGCAACAAGATGCACTAACAGTGGTCTACTTACCATAGACAAATGGGTCTGCATCTTTCTTCTCCTTTTTACCATCTGAAAATACAGGCACAGAGAAAGGCAAGGCAATGAGATACTAGCCGTAGCGGACATCTAACAATCATAGCATTTTTCAATGCTTTACATACCAAACTCGGGTTAACATGGCTAAACACATGGATTATATACAGGTTACTCACCCTCAGCACTTGGGTCAGCTACTGCTGAGAGAGAGAGAGAGAGAGAGAGAGAGAGAGAGAGAGAGAGAGAGAGGAGAAGAGAAGAGAGAGAGAGAGAAGATAGAGAGAACGAGAGATAAGGATCTAGGATAGAGGATATATAGAGAGAGAGGAGAGAATAGAGATCTAGCGCTAGCTAGAGCAGAAATGAGAGAGATACATAGAGATAGATAGAGTTCTCAGAGCGAGATACTCTCTAGAACAATTGCCTAGCGATCTCTCTCCCCCGCTCTGCTCTCTCCTATCTCTCTCTTCCGCTCTCCTCTTAGTTCCCACCTGTTTCCCATGGGCACACCTTCATAAGGAGATACAATGATGACTTTGAAAAAAAGCCTGCACACAGAGGTCTTTCTAACAGCACACATTACTGTGGTAGAATGAGAGAGAGCGAGAGAGAGAGAGGAAATCTTATGATTTCTTAGACCATACAGTGCATTCGGAAAGTATTCAGACCAAATGACTTTTTCCACATTTTGTTATGTTTCAACCTTATTCTAAAATTGATCAATTTACTTCTTCTTTTTTTAAATCTACACACAATACCCCATAATGACAAAGCAAAAACTGTTTTTTAGACCTTTTTGCAAATCTATAAAATAAAAAAACAGATACCTTATTTACAGAAGTATTCAGACCCTTTGCTATGAGACTCGAAATTGAGCTCAGGTGCATCCTGTTTCCATTGATCATCCTTGAGATGTTTCTACAACTTCATTGGAGTCCACCTGTGGTAAATTCAACTGATTGGACATGATTTGGAAAGGCACACACCTGTCTATATAAGGTCCCACAGTTGACAGTGCATGTCAGAGTAAAAACCAAGCTATGAGGTCGAAGGAACTGTCCGTAGAGCTCCGAGACAGGATTGTGTTGAGGCACAGATCTGGGGAAGGGTACCAAAAACTTCTGCAGCATTGAAGGTCCCCAAGAACACATTGGCCTCCATCATTCTTAAATGGAAGACGTTTGGAACCACCAAGACTCTTCCTAGAGCTGGCCGGCCGGCCAAACTGAGCAATCGGGGGAGAAGGGCCTTGGTCAGGGAGGTGACCAAGAACCCGATGGTCACTCTGACAGAGCTCCAGAGTTCCTCTGTGGAGATGGGAGAACCTTCCAGAAGGACAACCATCTCTGCAGCACTCCACCAATCAGGTCTCTATGGTAGAGTTGCTAGACGGAAGCCACTCCTCAGTAAAAGGCACATGACAGCCCGCTTGGAGTTTGCCAAAAGGCACCTAAAGGACTCTCAGACCATGAGAAACAAGATTATCTGGTGTGATGGAACCAAGATTAAACTCTTTGGCCTGAATGCCAAGCGTCACGTCTGGAGAAACCTGGCACCATCCCTACGGTGAAGCATGGTGGTGGCAGCATCATGCTGTGGGGATGTTTTTCAGCGGCAGGGACTGGGAGACTAGTCAGGATCGAGGGAAAGATGAATGGAGCAAAGTGCAGAGAAATCCTTGATGAAAACCTGCTCCAGAGCGCTCAGGACCTCAGACTGGGGTGAAGGATCACCTTCCAACAGAACAACGACCCTACGCACACAGCCAAGGCAACGCAGGAGTGGCTTTGGGATAAGTTTCTGAATGTCCTTGAGTGGCCCAGCCAGAGCCCGGACTTGAACCCGCTCGAACTTCTCTGATGAGTCCTGAAAATAGCTGTGCAGCGACGCTCCCCATCCAACCTGACAGAGCTTGAGAGGATCTGCAGAGGTGTGCCAAGCTTGTAGCGTCATACCCAAGAAGACTCGAGGCTATAATCGCTGCCAAAGGAGGCTTTAACAAAGTACTGAGTAAAGGGTCTGAATACTTATGTAAATGTCATATTTCTGTTTTTTATTTGTAACACATTTGCAAACATTTCTAAAAACCTGTTTTTGCTTTGTCATTATGAGGTGTTGTGCGTAGATTGATGAGGAAAAAATACAATTTAATCAATTTTAGAATAAGGCTGTAATGTAAGAAAATGTGGAAAAAGTCAAGGGGTCTGAATACTTTCCGAATGCACTGTAATTCAGAATTCTTATTGGCTCTTATTTGAACTACAGTAAGCTTGGATAGGGATCTTGGCAGGTTACGATATTCACATCCGGTTGTGCAATAGAACTGGCCTTGTGGATCACCTCAGTTATCTCCCCATCCTCCTCCTCCCCTACTCTATTCTTCCAACCCTCGCTCCATGTCAATTAAATTCCTAAATTCCCATCAGCAAACACTGTCCGGCCCATTGCACAAACCCCAAACCTTCTATCTGCCCTACTCCCCCATTGTGTGTGTGTGTACTCTACTCAGCATGTGTATTCATATCAACAGACAGGGAGTCACACAGAATGGGGAGTGAGTGTATGAACAACATTGAATTATAGTGGGAGGGAGATTAATAGAGGAAAATATACATCTGGAGATTGAGAAAGGGAAGAGGGAAAAGGAGAGATGTATAGTCTGGAGACAGAGACGAGACAACATAAGGAAGGAAGAAAGAGAAAGCAGAACAGACAGTGTGAACAAAACACAGAAGAAAGCATGGAAAGGATACAGAACGGGTGTCAGGAAAAAAGAAAGGAGGACAGGAAAAGAGGGAGGTCGAAAAGAATGGGAACTGAACAGAGGTGGGAAAACACCAAAGCAATAGAATGTGGAAGGTTAGTCTGATTGACAGACAAGGAAGAGTGAGAGGCAAACAGTGTGGATAACACCAGACTTCTGTAGAAGAAGAAATGACATGGATGGCTCAGTTGCTCTCTCAAGTGATGCATTGAACCTATGACCTGTGGCAGAGTTACACAGTTACTGTGTGTGTGTCATGGCCTAAATATACTTGTGATATACAGTATTTTACATTATACTTGGGATATACATAACACACACACACTGTAGTACGCATGCAAAGGAAGGAAGCCTCAGGCTCCAGAATAAGTCAGTCCATTAATGTTCAGTCAAAACCCCATGCCTGCCATGTTATGCCACGGCCCTCCCCTGTGTCTCCTGCCTCCCTGTGGATAGTGCAGTAGTCGTGCTGGTGTTAGTGGTAGTGGTGTTGGTAGTGGTGGAGGTGAGGCACTTACCAGCCACATACACCAGGAGTGAAAAGAGGAAGAACATAATAGTTTCCATGGTAACTGCAGAAAGAGAGAGAGAAAGAAAGAGCGAGAGAGAACCGTGTTAGTGGGTTACATGCCACACACATACACACCAAGACACACATGCTCACACAGACACATACAGTATGTAAGGTTGGAAAATGCCTCCCCCTCATCACCTCTCCCACTTGTATTGAACCAACCTGTTGGGTAACCCCACTAACCTTTATTATTCTTACATAACATTACATGTACAGAATATTGGAATGGACACTCTTGGATTGTTCCTAGTTCCCTATGGAGGCCACAGTGAATTGGCCTACTTCTCCATATGTCACATACGCACACACGTACACACACACACACACACACACACATATATATATATATATATATATATATATATATATATATATATATATATATATATATATATATATGCATGCGCACACACATATACACACAACTATAATGTCACAGAGGACCACACACAGGCACAGCCCACTAATTGCCCTCATTACAAGTCAAGATATGACAACGGACCAATCTCAGACACATTTTCTCTTTAGTCCAGTATTGGTATTTCAGGTTCCAAGTACCACAATCTTAAAATGGTGGATACCTCACATTTTACACATAGACTTGTGCAATGGGACAGACAGTGTTTGCTAATGGGAATTTTGGAAATTAATTGACACAGGGAGCGAGGGTTGGAAGAATAGAGTAGGGGAGGAGGAGGACGGGGAGATAACAGAGGTGATCCATTCAACAAATCATCCACAAGGCCAGTGCCATTGCACAACTGGATGTGAATACCGTAACCTGTCAAGATCCCTATCCAAGCTCTGGATGTGACATCTTACTGTAGTTCAAATAAGAGCCAATAAAGACCATCAGAATTCTGAATTATGTTCTAAGAAATCATAAGAGAATAATTCTCTCTCTCTCTCTCTCTCTCTCTCTCTCTCTCTCTCTATCTCTCTCTCTCTCTCTCTCTCTCTCTCTCTCTCTCTCTCTCTCTCTCTCTCTCTCTCTCTCTCTCTCTCTCTCTCTCTCTCTCTCTCTCTCTCTCTCTCTCTCTCTCTCAGACTTTGAGCTGCTACTGTAAGTCCTTGCCACTCATCTCAAGGCTGTATGGTTCGCTTAGAAATTACTCCAAATGGGTGCTCTGCAGAGGAAGGTTTTATTTATATTGGTGTGAAACATCCACTGGTAGATAGATAATGACATTAATCAGGCAGCTGTGAATCCCAATACCTGCAGAATGAGTGGTAAAAAATGAATGTCTCATTTTCAGTTACATTCTCAAACCAGTACTACACAGACATCTTGATGGGAATAGAAACTAGATGTAAAAGTTGCCAAGCTGCCGGGGAAATTAGAGTAATGGGTCGAAGATGAGCCAATTACAGACAAAAGACAGATGCTTACAATACTACAGTAGATTACTTGGATTCAGGCTTTTTATGGAAAGAAACTTGCCCTCTAGGCAGAGAGATGACAACAATCCCTCCATTACTTTTCCTCTCCTCTCCTAGCTTTTCCCCACTTCCCATGAAGCATATCCTTTATTGATACCACCATGCAGATTGTGGGGGCATAGTCGCTTAGCATCACAGTCCAGATGCTGTTTGTGTGCAGTGTTTAGCATCAAACTCCCTTAAAGACCTTGCCCTTGAAAAGCTTTAGGTAGTGAGCCCAGCCCCATGGCCACAGGTTAACGTTTTTTGAGATGAATCATGTTCTGGAGGAAGGTAATTTGCTCAATGATAGGGCACTTGATAGTAATTGAGCAACAAATGGCCTAATGAACTGGGAGAGAGAGCCCTCACAGCACACATTATGTTGTCATGTTGAATCCGGGCAATTATTCACAGAGCTACACATTTTACATGTCATTCATGGCATTAAGAACATTGCATGTAAAAGCCAAACTGACCTCTCAGTCTAGTACAGTAGGTACATAATTATGTGGATTCATTTTAGTCCGTAAAATGTCTGCATATTTTACCTGGTTGCATGTTAAAAATCAAATCCAAATCAAATCAAATGTATTGGTCACATACGTGTTTAGCGGATGTTATTGTGGGTGTAGCGAAATGCTTGTGCTTCTAGCTCCGACTATGCAGTAATATCTAACAAGTAATATCTAACAATTTCACAACATATACCCAATACACACAAATCTAAGTAAGGAATGAATTAAGAATATATACATATATGGACCAGCGATGTCAGAGCGGCATGGACTATACAGTAGAATGTTATCACTATTCTACCTGGTTACAGTATGTGTGCTTTATTTGCCTGCTGTTTTCTATATCCAAACAGGTTCTGGGTTATGACTGGGACCATAGCACTCAACCACCAGTCATACTATGGAGCAGACATAAGTGGGTTGTTATGTCTGGCTCTGTGATGTTGCGTCTACTCCCACCACCCTCCATAGCTGCGCTAAGTAGAAAAATGTTGTATTCATTATCCTTTCATTCAGTCAGTCACCACCCATCCTGACCCTATAGCCCTGGGCTATTCATTAGAAGGAGATACACAGGCAGGGAGGAAGTCTACAGTGTGGATGATGATGTGTTGTGAAGGCTAATAGACATCTACAGATGTGGCCAGAGGTCTTCTCAGAGAGAGGAACGGGTTAATCTGCTTGGTGATTGAGGCTTAACAGCTGCTACAACCTCAATAAAGAAGTTCCTGACACCATGAAGCTCCGCTCTGTGACTTTTGACCTTTAACTTTACATCCTCTGGTTGTTCAACAGAGCATTCTTATCCTCTTCCTTATTCAATCATCATATCCTGTCCTTTTTACCCATCTGGTGTATATAAATATATAGAGAGAGACAGGAATAGAGGGATGGATGGATAGATGGAGGCATAGAGATATAAAGCGAGGGAGAGGAAGAGAGGAGCCCACTTAGAACTCTTACACATAGCTACCTTGTTAATGGTACTGATAACGCTTTAACACAGCGAGTGTAAAGGCTAAGTGACACCTTGGATGACCTCTATGGGGATTAGATAGCCTTATCAAAGCTCCATACTTCTACTACTAGTCTACACTACAGTGCATTCAGAAAGTATTTTCCACATTTTGTGACGTTACAGCCTTGTTCTAAAATGGATTAAATTGTTTTTTTTCCCTCATCAATCTACACACAATACCCCATAATGACAAAGCAAAAACAGGTTTTTAGAATATTTGCAAATGTATAATAAATTGAAAACTGAAATGTAACATTTACATAAGTATTCAGACCCTCTGCTCAGTACTTTGTTGAAGCGCCTATGCCAGCGGTTACAGCCTCGAGTCTTCTTGGGTAATGGTTTCTCCCATTATTTTCTGCAGATCCTTTCAAGCTCTGTCAGGTTGGATGGGGAGCGTCGCTGCACAGCTATTTTCAAGTCTCTCCAGAGATGTTCGATCTGGTTCAAGTCCAGGCTCTGCACTGGTGCCTCCCACTCCTCTTTCTATTCTGGTTAGAGCCAGTTTGCGCTGTTCTGTGAAGGGAGTAGTACACAGCGTTGTACGAGGTCTTCAGTTTCTTGGCAATTTCTCGCGTGGAATAGACTTCATTTTTCAGAACAAGAATAGACTGACGAGTTTCAGAAGAAAGTTATTTGTTTCTGGCCATTTGAGCCTGTAATCAAAACCACAATTGCTGATGCTCCAGATACTCAACTAGTCTCAAGAAGCACAACAGTTTTCAGCTGTGCTAACATAATTGCAAAAGGGTTTTTTAATGATCAATTACTTTTAAAATGATACACTTGGATTAGCAAACACAACGTGCCATTGGAACACAGAACTGATGGTTGCTGATAATGGGCCTCTGTACGCCTATGTAGATATTCCATTAAAAATCAGCCGTTTCCAGCTACAATAGCCATTTACAACATTAACAATGTCTACACTGTATTTCTGATCAATTTGACGTTTTTTTAATGGACCAAAAAATTGCTTCGAAAACAAGGGAATTTCTAAGTGACCCCAAACCTTTGAACGGTAGTGTATATCTCGTTTTTTAAAATGTTTTTTCTAAAACTTTGTTGCACAATTCAAGGTCAGATACACTGCATTTCAAACAGTCAGCAATAATCGAATGAATTCAGGATTTTGAAATTATACTTAGGCTACATTTTCCAGAATCAATATTCATTGATACTACCATTTTAGTAGTCTGCTCTGCGCGCAATTTGAGGAGTTGAGACAAAAAGGGTATTGTTAGAAAGGTTAACTTCTCTATTACAGTAAAATAATGTCTCAATGTGTTTCGGTGTCCATATGACCGATTCTGTTGGACCAAACCACAAATCCAAAAAACAAGTTGAAACTGCTTGTCAGAGAGGAATAAGAGATCTCTCATCTTTGTTGTTGTGAGTGGAAAGGGGAGGGGCTTGGTGTGTGTGTGTACATGGGAAGCGGACATGAAAACACATGAAAAATAGAAACCGTGATTCTTGCGATACAGGCATTTGGAATTGCGTTAAAAACATAAATTCAACTTAATTGAATTAATTATATAGATCGACTAGCCCTAACTGACAGATTGAGGAATGACCTGCTGTCTACTGTCTAACGACCAGGACTAGAGGGCAAGAAAAACACAATGTTAATAGTCGGAAATTCCACGCAGTGGAAAATTGCAATGCAACCAGTTCAACCTCTCAGATCAGAGGTTGCCAAGTTGGCCGTATCGCTCAGAATCCCATGGGGAAGCTGCTGTTGGGGAGTGGCACTGCCAGCCAGGCCAGTGCTAGTGACACAGACACTGAAGTTCACCTCCCTCGCTAGAAATGAGAAGTGTCACCCGATGCACTACCCTCTACGCCTCTCCTTAACCCACTTTTGTCACCCCATTGTTTGTCAGTGCCGCGTTTCAGTCCCATGGTGCTTGCCTTTGTCTGAGAGAGAAGGGGAAGGGCAGGCAGAAACTGAGGCAGAAGCAGCGGTATCCTCGGGTGACGTCGGTGTACACATCTACAGAAGCAACAAACCCAGGGAGGGAGC